AAACCCATTCCAAAGTCTCAGCATAGGAGTGGCTGACAAACTGAGCCCTTCCCTAGAAGCGTGTGCTACAGAGGACAACATTTCTGTTTCTTGCAGCACTTACTCAAACCTTAAAGTCTAGTTGTTCTCCGCTACAAGGGCAGGGGCCCTGGAGGCTTTCTTCCCTGTTGTGCCCTCTCTGCCTGCTGTGTGCCCACAACTTACCAGGGCTTCGCCTGGTTTGTGGGCTGGAAAACAAATACCTGGCGAAGAGGAATCCCTTCATTACAGCAGGTTAAGTCTCTTTTTTAGTAAGGCGTCTAGGTGTAGAGAAAATGCTTGCAAATAAAATATTGGCCCCACTATTGACTTCTTCATTTACCAAAATCAACTCTAGGAAGAATAAGCAGTGGCTAGCTGAATATTTCCCAGGTGATTCTAGGTTAATTGTGAATTGAGGTGATCTCTTTAGGTAGGGGTAGGGAACATTTTTTTTCTACCAAGGGCCATTTGGATATTGATAACATCATTCAGGGGCCATACTGGTTAAACATTTAATTAACTCCTAATGTGATGGCTGACACTGCTTCTCTTTAGTGAGACATGTGATGATAGCTGTCATTGATGATTCTGTGGGCCTTATACTGCCAGAGAGCCAGACATTCCCACCCCTGCTCTGGGGCTTTACGAACTGAAAAGACAATACCTGTTCTGAGTCACTACTTGTCTTTGACCAAGATGACTAGAGAAACAAATTCAGGGACACTCATATAGGTGTTAAGAGAGAGCTTTATATCAAAGACTAATTATATCCAAAGAAAACATCCCAGCCCAATTCAGATCAAGTCCACAAGTCTGATATTAGTCCATAAAGCCCTTTTCAGACTCACGCAGTCACATTGCAATGATGGGGAAGACAGGAAGATCACAGGCCAGTAGGTGCAAAGTCTTGTGGATGCAATGGTGGTGGCTGAATCACAGAGCTTGCAGGTCTCAGCACGGCTTCTCAACAGGAAGACTAACAAGAAAAGAGAGAGGGGGGTGGGG